CTCCCCGAGGTTGGGGCGTGACAATGGGGAAGGACCGCAGGTGCGGTCAACACTCCGCAAAAGCGGGTTCACATAAGCGAGCCGTTGCCCACAAGAGTGTGAGCGCAAATGCAATTTGGTGTCCGCAGAAGTGGAATCTTAAGGGATTAAGTGAGAGCCACACCTGCGATGGAATTTACACAGGCGTGGAGCTACAGATGCGGTTGTATGCCCGTAGAAGCAAAATCGCTAGGAAGAAAAGGGGCAATTCGAGGGTTTTATTTCATTCGTTATCTTTGGACTTAGAGAGCTTGGTTTTGGGCAATTTTGAGAGTGATTTTCAAGGAGTTGATTGAGGCAAGTGATTCTAACCAGGATTTGGCTATTATACATGAATCCATCGTTGTTTTTATCATTTAAATAGTGCTTTGAGTTGGAAAAATTAGGAAAAATTGTGAAAACTTCATAAAATGTATTTTGAGGACTTGAAGGTCGATTTGAGATCGGAATTGAGTAATTTAGTATGGTTGGACTCGTTATTGAATGGGTGTTCGTATTTTGTAAGTTTGGTTAGGTTCCGAGACGCGAGCCCGGTGTTGACCTTTTGAGTTGACTTTTTGATTTTCTTTAAAGATTGCAACTTTATTATCCGTAATTGGTTCCTATGGTTTCTGTTTAAGGTATAAAGTTATTTTGGCTAGATTCGAGCCGTTCAGAGTTGGATATTCGTGGGAAAGGCTTACTAATGGATTTAGTTAGCATATTTTGAGGTAAGTATCTTGCCTAACTTTATGTGGGGGAATTACGTCTTAGGATTGGTGTTGTTTTGTGTTAATTATGGTACGTGAAAGCTGTGTATGCAAGGTGACGAGTGGGTACACAGGCTAAATGTGATAATTGATCGGTTTAAGCTATGTAGATTCTTTTCATGCCTTTAATTGAATTGTCATAACATGTTATATTTATCATCGTTAGTCTATCCTTACATGCTTCACTCGACATTATTAATACTTGTCTCATGTCTTACTTGTTATTTGCCCTTACATGCTTAGTTGAAGTTATCATTCTCTTATTGCGTTGTTAAATATTTAACTGTTGAGTTCCCTTACTTGAAGTTGTTATTTCTTGGAATGTCTTATTGTTGAGTTTTGGTGTTGAAGTTGTAAAAGACGTGATTATATTGAGGCAAAGTTATAAATTGTTGAAATACCATTCTTTTTGAGATATTCAATTTCGGTTGCTATTGTTGAGACTCCTGTACGCATTGTGGTTGAGCCATGGGCTATTTATTATGGAAACATTGTTATTGTTGACTTCTTTAGCAAGTTGTGGTATTGGGAACTTGAGGTGCGATTTGTGATATTTGTGATATGGATACGCATGCAGTGGTATAAGGATAGGGATTGATGTGCATGCAGTGAGATAAGGTGGGCTTGATACGCGTGTTGCTAGTAGGTGAACAACTTGAAGACAAGTTGTGTGATAAGGTGGGCTAAAACGCAGGTAGCTATTTCGGAAAAATAATTTTCAAAACTAAATGTAAGGCTCCCGCAGTGATATAAGGAAAGATTGCGACTGTGATTGTGATATGACATACGAGGCGGACATGATTCTTGTTATTATCTTTAATTTACATCACTTGCGTTTTGTTTGCATCGTTTCCTTGGTGTTCTTTTTATGTGGTTGCTCTCTTGATGCCTTTAATGCCTTATCTTTCGGTGTGGCTTATCTTGTTGTATTTCTTCATTGTTTCATTCCTTGTTTCCATTATTATATTGTACCATACATGTTCAACTTCTTTATTTATTCCAATAGGTATCTTGACCTGACCTTGTCACTAATCTACCGAGGTTGGGCTTGATACTTACTGTGTACCGTTGTGGTGTACTCGTACTATGCTTCTGCACATCTTTTGTGCAGATCCAGGTACTTCATACCAGGCTAGGAATCTGTGAGTTGAACTTGGATTGGAAACTTCATGGTATACCTGTCGGCTTTCGCAGTCCTCAGAGTCACCCTTTATCTTAGTTTCTATTGTATACTCCTCTTATAGATATTGATGTATTAGGGATGTTTCATTACACTCGTGTAGAGCTTATGACTGTCACGAGGATGGCTATGCGCTTAGCGCGCGATTTAAGGTATTTTATGATTTGTGTTACATTAGCTTATGAAGGATTTAGTTGAATTACAGTGTGGGATTATGGCAGTAATGGAGTAAGGGTATTGTGGGTTATCAGATGTTGTATTTTATGGCTTTGAACCAAGTGGGGGATTCTGCTATCGACGATCAGGTTGTATGGTTATTTGCAGAGGTTCGTTGTGAGGATGACTTGAGCAAGGAAATTTCTGGATGCACGATGTATTACTCTTTATTGATATAAGAAAATCTTGGAATGATTTTAGTATGTTATTCGTGATAGATGTAATTTTCTAAGGAAATGAAGTCACTCCGTTGCGTTAAGGTGAGGTTACTTATTTTGGTGTTGGTGTACTAATGGAGCACAGGTTGTTCGGCTCCTTTTGGCGGTGCATTCAAGATTAGAATGGGGTGGATGACTCTCGAGAAGGTTCTAAAGGGTTAAAGATTCATATATAGTATAATTTCCGAATTTGTAAAAGGCTAAGATATGAGATTTGCATTAGATGGTGTTCGGACTCGCGGTAATATTTGTGTCATTATGGAGTCTACATCTCAGTGTTAGAGAGGTTAAGGAAATAACTTCAGATTCACATAAGGTATCTCCAGAGAGAGTATCTCGGATGTGGTATTTTCGGGTACTTAATAAGGAATATAGTGGCTTATAGGCTTTAGGACAACGAGGTCTCATGCTAGGATCTCTTGTAGCGAGCTTTGGGTTAAGGATCGTAGTGTACTGTCAAGGAGAGGTGTTTAATTAAAGGCAAGTCGGGCGAGGTTCAAAGAAATAAGTGTCAGTTTGGTAGTTGTTTGGATCAACATGGTAATAGAAATAATCGATTCTTTTGGTGTGGCGAGGCTTTGTAGGTGTGATATGGAAAAGCTATTGGGTTTGGCTATAACTTAGTTGAGTTAGAGGGATTCAATTCTGATGGCTTGTTTATGTGCATATGGGTTTCGAAGATTTCTCAATGGTGTCGACCACAACTAGAGATAGATATTTTCTATAGGCGTGGGGAATTCATTGTGCATTGTTTTTTTCTCCTGGATGGGGGTCTAGTGGTAGGTTTCAGGATGATGGAGCATGTATCCTACATATGAGTAAGAGTTAATTATGGGGTTCTTGTGTTTTCATATGATGGCATGATGGATACGATGCGATGTGTAGGATAGAGGTTGCAAGTTCGAGGTTGCGACCCCATTTGAAGGAAAGGTCATGAGTTTTAGATAGCATGGATAATTTCAGATGTTTAGAAGAATGCTAGTATTGTTTTGTATTACTGGGAAGAGTGTACATTTCAGAAGGGCGCATTGTGTTTCAACTTGCGGATGCTTGACTAGTATTACGGTAATCGCCTGGATGGCCGACTGCTGATGTTCATATTTTGCTATGTGTCATGAAAGAATTTTGGAGGTATTTCTCTTGAGATGATTGTTTACGAGTGACGTGTTAGTCTTTTGAGTGGTGAAGTTGGGATCAAACATAGAGATTCACGTATTCTAGGGGTTTGAAGTGCAGAAGGGTTCTCAGAGGCAAGTTGTTCCTTGGTTGCAGACAGTGAAGATATGTTAATAGGTTGACGGCTAAGTGTATGTATTGTAGATGGGTTATTGTGGACTTCTTGGAGGTTACCTATTTCAAGGGGATAATTGATTTGGAGGCCACATGTAGGCCTATTGAGGATATGTATTCTACATCGGGTCAGATTTTCTTACTTAGCATAGCTATTATTGAAGGTTGTGTCATCGGTTAGAGTTGATCTTATTCGTGCTTGATATGTTCGGGCCTATTGAGGATATCTTATTCGCTATCATGGGCCTTGTAGCGGAACTCGAGCAAAATGGCTCTTGGTGTGTTGAATGGTTGATTGCGCCTTAGTTATGTTTTTCCTATTTGTGGTATATTGTGCTATTCGTTTCTCCATGATTATGATCATGCACATCGCATATTTGTTGCTGATATGCATATGGTTGTTGATTATGAGAATCATGGCTCGATGTATTTCATGTGGACCAGTGTTTGGATTGGGTCACTCATCGCAACTGAGCTATGTTGGGATATAATCCTCTGTGTTTATATCATGTGTTAGTTCTCATTTGTGTGATGGGTTTATTGCATTGCTCCTGTGGTGGTATCTGTTAGATTGCGGGATGATCCTCTCATTTGATTCTCTTTTCATCATTGGGTATATTCGAGTCATCGCTTGCTTGGTCCATGAATTGCACGATATGGGGCTAAATATGGTATTGGTGTGGCATGTCAGTCGAGTAGCTTGTACTGGATGAGGTGAAGTATTGGACGTGTAATGAGTGCAATCAAATTTGATTAAGGTATGTTAGGAAGAATAACGCCCCTAATCAGCTTAAAATTTGGGCTATGGTTCTTGTTGGGCGAGAGAGCTCCACGACTTTTTGATCTGATGAGTGGGTATGAGTTTCTGCGTGTTTCTTTCATCATTGGCTGTATATGAAGATTTAGAACAAGGTTTTATTCGATATGAGGTTTGTTACCGGTACCGGATTTGGTATTGAGCATCTATTTGATCGAAAGTTATTGCTATGAGTATCAGAGTTATGCGGTATATCATGTGATTATATCTTGGGTTGAGGTATGGATTGATATAGCTTGTTCAGACTTGGTCAGTGTTCAGATGCGAGAATCGAGTCTTGTAATGGATTCCAGATGTTGGAGATTTTTTTTTTGAGTTAAAATTATATTCTATTGATACTCAAAAATATGTACAATTGAGTCCGAGGAGCAACTTTGACAGGCTGCTCCCAATTACATCACAATTTGCTACTGCCAATTTGTGTCTATCTATCCTATACTATTGCTCAATGCAGACACTTGTTAAACTAATTACAGCAAGGACTTCTACTTTTAATTCAACTTTGGAATCCAATCCAGTTGTTGCAATGCCTCTTTCCACTTTCCTATGTTCTTCCCTCTAATATGTATGTGTAGCACTATCTCTCTGGAGATTTGAAGTTCATCAAACTTAGCTTTATCAAATCTGACTCTGTTCCTCTCCCTCCAAATCAGTGCAACAGTCATAGCAAACACACAACTAGTAATAACATTTGTTCCTTTTCTGCTTTTGGCTTTCTTGCATGCCCAATTCAGTTCTGTTTCCCAATCTCCAATGCTCCTCTTATGTCCCAGCCATGAACATAGTCTGGACCACAGTTTCTTTGTAATGGTACACTCAAAGAACAAGTGGATAAAGGATTCCAGGCTATGTCCACAGAATGCACATACTGCAGGAACTTGGATGCCAATCTTCAATAGTCTTTCCACTGTAGCTAGTCTCTGCTGTGCTGCAAGCCATATGGTGAATCTATATCTTGGATGTATATTTGTGTGCAGCATCAAGCTTTTCCATTCAACTCTGGGGTAAACTGGTATCAGCTTCAAGTATATCTATTTTATCTGGAACTTTGCATTTTTGCACATTGTCTGCAATCTGTTGTGAATGTTTCCTTGAAGTTGTTGATACTCTATAATCAAACTTCTGCTTTCTAGTATCTTCTTCACCACCCAAGATGTAGCCTTAGGTGTGACCATTATTTCCAGATTCCTGTTCTTTATATAGAAGTTGTGCACCCACATTATCCATAAGCAGTCCTTCTTTCTTGTTATATCCCACAGATGTTTTATAATTGCTTCTTTATTCCACAGTTTTATGTCTAGTATATTGAGACCTCCAGCAGCTACTGGCCTGCACACCTTTTCCCAAGCCACTAGTGCTTTCTTTGAGATAGTAGCATTACCAGTCCATAGGAAAGTTCTGCATATTGCCTCAATTGCTTTCATCATCTTCTTTGGAATAACAAAAATCTGTGCCCAATAGGTTTGAATGCCAAAAATAACAGCCTTGATCAATTGACATCTACCAGCATAAGATAGAAGTTTTGCTAACCAGCATGTGATCCTTGCTATTATCTTCTCAATAAGAGGTAAATATTGATGGACTGCTAGCTTCTTTTCATCTACAGGGATCCCCAAGTATTTGAAAGGTAGCTTTCCTTCAGTAAAACCCAAAGCTTCAACGATTTCCTGTTTTTCAGTTTGAGAGATTCTAGCCATGCCTATAGCACTTTTGCTTATATTTTCCTGTAAACCAGAGGCAACTGAGAACCTATGAAAGGTAGCATTTAGGATCTTTATAGACTCAAAATCAGCTCTGCAATACATCAAGAGATCATCAGCAAAAAATATATGTGTACTGTTCAACTTCCTGCACCTAGGATGAAAATTGAAGTTTCCATTCTTATGCAGTTGTCCCATTTCTCTACCTAGATATTCCATTGCAATAACAAACAAGTATGAAGATATTGGATCTCCTTATCTAATCCCCCTTTTCCCTTTGAAAGGCTTGGTCAGTCCTCCATTAAGTACTAAGGAATATGACACTGTAGTAACACATGTCATTATCCATTGCACAAACTTGAAGGGAAAACCAAGATCAATAAGCATTCTTCTGAGAAAACTCACTTCCAAAGTATCATAAGCTTTCCTCAGGTCCACCTTCAGCGCACATCTAGGAGAGACACCTTTTCTAGAGTATCCTTTAAACAGTTCATGACTTAGTAGAATGTTTTCAATAATACACCTCCCTTCAATGAATGCTGATTGAGAGTGACCAATTAACCCATCAAGAACAGATTTGATTCTCTTTGTGATGACTTTAGAAATAATCTTATACACTGTAGTACAACATGCAATAGGCCTATGGTCCTTGACTGTTGAAGGTGCTGAAACTTTAGGTACTAATGTGATGGCTGTAGTGTTGATCATTCCAGGCAGGCTACTGGTAGAAAAGAAGTTCTTTACAACTGCAAAGATATCCTCCTTCACTATATCCAGTTCCTAGTAAAGAACTCCACGGGGAATCCATCAACCCCTGGTGCTTTGTCTTTAGGCATCTCCCATACTGCAGCTGTTATTTCCTCATTTGTAACATCCTGAATCAAATCTCTTTGTTGTGATATATTTAAGCATGGTCATTCCTTGATTATAGCTTTGTTTGCACAAGGCATTTCAGCAGCACAATCTCCCATCAAGGATTGAAACATTCTGATGAATTCCTGCTCAACCAATTTGGGATCTGTTAACTTTATTCCTGTATCAGTATATATGGATGATAAACTATTCTGACTGGATCTAATCTTCCATTGAGCATGAAAATACTTTGTATTTTCATCACCACATTCAATCCAGCAAGCCTAGGACTTCTGCCTCATTACTTGTTCCTCAATATTACTCCATTTCTCAATGTTAGCTAGTGTGTCTTTCTCTAAATCAAATAAGTCCTGTGCTAGAGGATCCTGCTGAATTTGGTTCTGAACAATATCCAATTTTTCTCTTGCTTGCTCAAGCTTTTGTTTATATGAATCCATATAGGTATTAGTGTCTTTCAGTTGTGTCTTCATAGCCTTCAGCTTACTCCAGATCTGATGCACATGTGTGCCATCATAATTCTAACTCCAAACATACTGAATAATATGTTGGAATTATGGAAGCTCCATGACATTTGTGTATAGCCTAAATGGTTTAGGATGTAATAACTTCTGTCTACCACATTTGATTAGGATAGGGGAATGATCACAGACTGATGGATTCAAAATATCTGCCTCTACATGACCATATTGCTGTATCCACTGGTAGTTTCCCAAAGCCCGATCTATCTTTCTATATACTCTTGATCCAGTACCTTCTTTATTTGTCCAAGTGCCTCTACATGATTCTAAGGATTATGGACTAAGGTTGAAGTAAGGATCTTCAGTTATGTTGAGTTGCCAGGCTTACATGGTTTGGGGTGATGTGGGATCACCCATGGGTATGTTTATGGTGAGTTGATTCAGTGATCCAGTGTTTTGATGGCTCTGTTGCGACTTTTGGAAAATTCGAGGACAAACGTATGTTTAAGTGGGAGAGAATATAACGATCTGACAGATCGTTTTGAGCTTTTTCAATTAGTTCTATGGTTTGAGGTCTTAAGTAGCTTCATATTGTGCTTTATGACTTGCGTGTATCATTGGTTTTGATTTTTGAGTGGTTCGGGATTGATTTGGAAGAATGATTCTCATTTTAGAAGCTTAAAGTTGGAAGAGTTGACCAAGTTTGACTTTTGTGTATTTGACCTCATATTAGAGTTTTGATGGTTCTGTTAGGTTTGGATGGTGATTTTGGACTTGGGTGTATGCCTGGATTTGAATTTGGATGTTTCAAGTAGGTTTTGGCTATAATTGGCGAAAGTTGGCAATTTGAAGGTTTGAAAAGTTCATAGGTTTGACCGGGAGTTAAGTTCAATGTTATCGGGTTCAAATGGTTATTCTAGGAGTTAGACTAGGTTCGTTATGTCATTTGGAACTTGTGTGCAGAATTTGAGGTGATTCTGAGTTGTTTGGACGTGTTCGGTGTGAGTTTGGAATTTAGAAGTTTGTAATAGTTAATTAAGCTTTATTGGAGGTATGATTCGTAGTTTTGTTGTTGTTATGTGTAATTTGAGACTTCGAGTAGGTCCGTGTTATATTTTAGGACTTGTTGGTATGATCGGACGGGGTCCCAAGGTGCTCAGGTGAGTTTCAAGGTGGTTTCGGATCATTTCGGATGGATTTTCTGTTGTTTATTGTTGGTATTTTGCAGATCATCATGATCGCAGAGCTAGGATCGTGATCACATAGAGGAATTTTGGTCTAGGCTCTTTCATCTCTTTGCATTCGCTTGTTTTCAGTCGCATTCACGATGACTGTGGGACTTGAGCTTCGCATTCGCATTGTGAGATCGTGTTCGCGCTGGTAAGCTAGGAGCAGGAGAACTCTTGTTCGCGTTCGCGTGTCATGGGGCGCATTCACAAAGTGCTTGCATCTGTGGGCATCGCGTTACGGGGGTGGTGTCGCGAACGCGAACAAGTAGGGAATTTTATTGGCAATGGCATTTGTTCTTCGCGATCGCGGAGCTATTCCCCCAATGTCGATGGGTATTGTTGGAGCACAGATTTGGGCAATCTTGGAGGGGATTTTCACCACATGGATTGGAGTAAGTATTTTTGACTTGGTTTTGATTATTTTACACAATTTCATCTTCAATTTTGCCATTTAATTTGATGAATCTAGAAGTGAAATTGGGATTTTTTTTCAAAACTTTTCTAAAGTGAATAATTAGGATTTGAACGTCGATTCGGAGATGAATATGAGTGGTATTAGAATAGTTGGACTCATATTCAAATGGGTTGTCGGAATATGTGAGTTTTATCGGGTTTCGAGGTGGGGGCCTAGGTTGACTCTTTTGGTTGACTTTGAGTATTTGATTAAAAGATTCGACCTTTATCGTTTGGGTTTGTTTCCTTTGGCATTATTTGATAGTTTTGAGTTGCTTTTGGCTAGTTTCGAGCCGTTTGAAGGTCGATTCGTGTGGGACAACATTTCTAGATTATTTTTTTGCTTGCTCGATATTTGATTTGACTTGTTTGAGGTAAGTATCTTATCTAAACTTGGTTTAGGCACTAGTTCCCTGAGTTATTTGTGATAGCTACGTTCTATGGGTGTGCATACCTGTGGAGTTTGAGCCTATGTGCAACCACCAGGGTATTTATCCACACTCGGGGTAGTGCTTATTCTATAACATGCCTTGAATTGATTGTTAAATTTTATGCTGTGATGTTTCTCATATTTGTAACCCTGTCATGTACTATTTGATTCATATTTGAGGTTACATAAAGGCTAAATCCTTATTGAACTTGATATATGCTATTTTCGTGATGAAATTACCGATTTGAGCTATGATAGCACACTTTGCACATGCATACACTTTTGCATAAAATTTATACCAGTCCACGAGCATGGAATCTAATATTCATTGATCATGTACATGTATTCTTGCATATTTGCTTCTGTGTGATATGATATGTACTGGATGCCTATGATAATGCTGGGTGGATTGTATTGTTATGCATGTGACCACGCGACGCAGATTGTGTTTATATGCCCGTGACCATGCCGGGCTGATTGTGATATAGCCTTGTAATGACCCGCCCTATCATTTTGAGCATTTTTACTCAGTTCTGTGATTTGTGGTCATGAGTTGCTTCATATGGTGTATTATGACTTGCGTGTATTGTCGGTTTTGGTCTTCGAGTTGTTCGCAATTGATTTGGAAGAATGATTCTTAAAAAGGAAGCTTTAACTTGAAAGAGTTGACCAAGTTTGAATTTTGTTTATTTGACCCCGGATCGGAGTTTTGATTGTTCTATTTGGTCTGGATGGTGATTATGGACTTGGTCATATGCCCAGATTTGCATTTGGATGTTTCTAGAAGGTTTCGATACTATTTGGCGAAAGTTGGCAATTTGAAGGTTTGGAAAGTTC